GACCCGCTGACGAGCGCCCTGCCTGTCCAGCCGCCAGGGCCCTGGGTTCCCGCCCGGGCTTTGCCAGCCCTCCGCGGACGCGCCACCTCTGGCCTGGGGCCTGGTTTTCCTGATTAGCGGCTTGTCGTGGAGAAACAGTTTTGCTGGTGGCAGGCGGGCACAGGACCCGGCCGGGCCCCGACCTTGTACGAGCAGGCTCTCACACACCCCTTTTCTCCATCTGGTGTGTGGCCTCGGGCAGGCGCTGTTCTGGGGTTGCGGACAGGGTGACCCCGTCAGCAGGCCCCTCCCTGCCTCTGGGAGGCTGGAGGCTCGGAGCTCTGGTGACAAAGGCCTATTTTAGTAAGTAGGGAGCGCTAGGGTCCCAGCCTCAGTGGGGGGCCCTGCGGGGGGCAAGGTTTGTTGGTGGAATGGAGTTCTCTGTGGCATTCGGTGCCCCTCACACTGATTGATTCGCCCCATTAATCACAGCCAGCAGCTGGGGGTGGGGTGGGACCAGAGCAGGCACTGGCAGGAGCCACGGCGCCCGGGAGGTGGGCAGGGGTCAGCACGGGCTTTCTCTGTCATCCCTTTTTCCTCCAGACCCCGCCGAGCAGAAGCCTGGGGAAGGAACAGAGCACTTGGTGCCTCGACCGGCCCCCAGAGCCCCCAGGATCCCCTCCGGAGCTCACTCGGGCCCCCGCCCCTCCGCAGGTCCCACCCGTTTGGAGAATCGGGGCGTCTGGAAGCCTGAGCTGGCACCCGGGTCCTGTCCGTCCCCGACTGCTAACAGCACCCTCCTTTTCAGTGTTTGCAGCAGAAAACCAGCAATAATCGTGCCTCCTCCAGGCAGGCGTGGGGGCCCACGGGAGGCGAGACGGGGGCTCCAGCCCAGCGCTGTGGACTCTGAACCCCTTCGCCTCTGGGTGCCCGGGGGCCTCAGGCGGCCCGTGAGGCTCCCTGGGCCTGGAAGTGGGAGCGAGACCCCTTGGAGGGCACATCTGCAAACACCGAGCCCCTCCCTTTCTGGACTGTGGATTCCTGGGGGGCCTGCCCCCCATGTCATTACCCAGAGGGCGCAAAGAGCTGAGGCTCAGGAGCGCAGGTACCTGGCCCCTCCCGGTCTTCGAGGGAGCCGAGACCGTGCAGGTGGCCATGTCCATCGCCCACCGCCCTGGTGCAGTCCCTGCCGGAGCCGCCCCCAGCCTCCACTGCTGGGGAAAGGGTCACGGGCCCTGTGGGGCCCCTTCCCCCTTCTCCCCACCAGCAGCCGGGCTCTGCCCCCTCCCCAGTCTCTCAGGCCCCCCACGCTGACCGGCACCCCCAGCCCGACTGCTGTGGCCATCGGGACCCTTCTCTCATTCCCCCAGATGCTGACTCCAGCCTCCTCCGGGTCTCCCTCCCCCCAGGACCCCACAAGGGTTCCCTGCCCCCCAGACCGCAGCCAGGTCTCCCTCTAACCCCAGGTCACGTCTGCCCTGCCCTCCCTGCCCAGCAGAGCCCTCAGCCCCCGGAGGAGCCCCAGAGACCAGAACCCCTCCTTCCATGAACCGTCCCTCGTGGCCCTGTGGCCTTGGTCCTTGGACGCTCCACGGAGGGCCCTCCCTGCTCCCAGTCTGCACCCGCCACCAGCCCCCTCCCCGGGGCCCCGCCCCCGCCCCGCAGGGAACCAGACCCGGAAGACGGCCTGTGGAGCGTCTCCCGCCTGCACGGCAGCCCCGCCGGGGGCCACGCGCCTGCGCAGTCTGCCTCCCAACGTCTTGAGGCCCGCACGCATTACGCTGAGGACACAGGGCTGATGTCACTGAGTCTGGACGCCCCCTCCCCGTGCCATGGCAGCAGGGGGTACAGGCAGGTGCTCAGGTCCAGCTTCGGCCAGGGGCTCACTCTGGGTGAGGCTGCCTTTGCGCCCAGCTAGGGGGCCGCCTCTCCGTGTGGAGGGAAGGTGAGCGCGCTGCCCCAGGGGCCCTGCCCATGGCAGAGCCTCCCGCCTTCCTTCCCCTCCGGGTCGAGGGGGGCACGTTGCTGCTGTTTTGGGAACCCCTCTCATGGGGCAGGGATGAGGTGCTGGCCGCCTCTCCATGAGGCTCCCCTCGCCCCCAGCGTGGGGTGGGGGGCAGGGCCGGGACCGGCTTCGCGAGCTGGAGATCTGCAGAGGGCGGCCCTGCGAGCCTCGGTGCTCTCTGCTTGCTCTCGGTTTGAAGGTCTCAGTCCTTTCACCTTTGAACGTGGGTTTGTTGGTGAAGGTCAGTGGGACAGAGGAACACACCTATGGGAGTCCACCCCACCCCCAGGCCCAGGAACACCCCCTGAGGACCCAAGGTCTGCTCTTTCCCCAGGGACCCAGGGCGCGCATCACTGGCCAGCCTCACAGGCTCACCCATGTGGCTTGTGGGTCACAGCCTAGAAGTAGGGTCCTCGAGGTCTCCCTTTGGTATGTGGTGCATCCCGGCACACAGAAGGTGCCCAGTAAAGGTTTCAGGGTGAATGGGGGGGGATCCAGGTGGGCCGGTAAGGCAAGCCTGGGGGCACGGACCTGCGTGCTGGGCCCCTGGTGCCGTCCGGACAGTCCTGTGTCAGCAGAGCCTCCCGTGTGCACAGCCTGGGGGACACGTGCAGGGCAAAGCCACCGAGTGAGTTGTGGCCACAGAGAAATCGCCAGGACAGCGAGGTCGGGCTGCTCGGGGCTCCCGCTATCATGAGCAGACAGGAACGACGTACTGGCCCCAAGTAGCAAAGTGTCCCCGGAGCACTCCCTGGGGGGCTGGTCATCCGGACCGCACTGCCCGCCCCTCGTGCCCTCCACAGCCCTGCCGGGTCGGGTCTGCGGGGCCTGACTTTGTGCAGCACCTCAGTGCTGCTCTCCAGCTTCACCCCGAGTCCTAAATCACCATCTCCTCATCTTATGGATTGGGGTTCCCAACCTAACTCCACCCTCCGGCCTCTGATCACCTTCCATCTGCAATCAGCCGCCCGAGCGGGGGCAGAGCCTGGGCTGGGGGCTCCCAGTGGAGCCAGCTGGGCACCGGACAAGGGGCTGAGGTGTCATCCCCAGGAGAGCCTCCGCGGCCGCGCCCTCCTAGACGGGGACTATTGCAAGGCCTTAGAAGTGAAGCGACCCTGGGTTTGAATCCGGTTCCCACCGTTTCCCAGTTCCGTGACTTCAGGGGCTCAGTGCTGGGTTCGGCCATTTGCAGTTCCCTACGATGGGCGATGGCCGTTCAGCGAAGGACAGACGGGGGCACTTTGTAACTAGGGTGAGCTGGCAGGCTGGTGTGCCCCGGCCACGCGCCGAGGTCCTGGCTGAGCCCCAAACACAGCCCTTCCCGTCCCAGTAATGTCCCTGTTCTGACAGTGAGTGACCCGGTCCAGCGGCCGCATAGATGTCGGTTGACAGGATGCAGTGGGGGGGGGGCTCCTCTGAAGTGACCCCCTCCTGTGACGTGCCGGAAATACAGGCGCAGACACTGGAGAAATGGCACCCAGAAGGGTGCGCACCAGCAGTCCCCAGAACTCAGGAAACCGCGCAGACAGACGGACACAGCTTAGAGAGGCTTCAAGGGCCCACGGCCAACCCCGGGAGCGCCCGGCCGGCCCGATCCCACCGTAGGAGGCGGCGGAGGCCAGCGCAGGGACGTCGTTCGCTGGGGGGGAGAGTGGTGCGGGGGCTTTCCGGACAGGCGCACGTGAGCAATTTCCAGGGGGAAATGGGTGTTGGCATTTGCTTCAAAGCAACGTGGGGGCAGCAGAGGTGGGGTGCCGGGGGGCGGGGAGCAGCCTGCAGACGGGCTGCTCAGGCTTCGGGCCGGCCTACCACACACTCACCCGCGGCCTGTGAGTGGGGTCCCTCCCACGTCCCCTCCCCTGGTAGATGTTCCTGACGGTTCCTGGTGCAGAGAAGGTGTCCAATGAAGGTCCTAGGACTTTTGCGCATGTCTGGGATTTTCCAGGATAACAACAAAAGTGGTGACGCTTATGTCATTGCTCAGCCCTGGCGGGAGGGAGGGCGTTCTCCTGGGGGCCCGTTCTCCCGTGCTTTCCCTCCCCGACACCCACCCTGCCCACCACCCTGTGCCCAAGCCTCTCCCTGGGGTTCTGGTGCGTGTGGTTCAGTGAGGTCCCTGGCCAGGCAGCGGGTCCCTAGAAGGGAGTGGGGTGCCCCCTTCTGTCCCTCCGATGAGGCCCCACAGCCCCAAGCCACAGGGCTCTCCTGACTCCGGCCGGGCCTGCGCCTCATCAGACCCTCAGACCCTGTCACCAGGGTCACCCTGGAGCCACCTGCTGTCTCCACCCCCCAGGGATCCAACGATTCTGACCCAACCACTCCCTGCCAAAGGAAGGGGTGCCTTCGGCACCCTGGGGGATCCCCGCCAGCCCCGCCCCACTCCTGCAATAAAAGGGAGCTTTGGGCCTAGTGAGACTTCAAAGCGGCTGAGGCCCAGGTCAAAGGTAGAGCCGATTAATCTCCACAGGTTCTCAGCTGGGGGAGCCTGGGGGCGTCCTTGTTCCTCCCAAGGAGGCCAGCAAGGCCCTGGCCCCTGGCCCCCCAGCCCAGCGGGGATACCACTCAAATCTTCCCACGACCTCCTCGGGCAGCTCTGCTGTCGCCCCACCTGTGTGTGTTGGGGGGACGTGCCCCGCCCCCCAGCCCGTGGGGAGCAGTGGAGATCTGAACGAGGCAGCCTGAGCCCCGAGACAGGGTGGGCTGAGCCCCTTACCCAGGATGCAGCCCCCAGACCTCGGCTTCCCAGCTGTGGGGTAGCCGTGCCTGGCGGGCCCACTTACTCGGGGCCACCTGCTCGTGGCTCCCTGCCCCACGAAGGGCCTGTGAATGGCTTTGGCACAGCGAGACCAGGCTGGAGGCGCAGACCTCACGCCGCTGGCCCCACCCAACAGAGGAGGGGAGTGGAGTCCAGGAAGAAGTGACCACAGGGGGCCAGGCCTGCTGAGTCCCTCCCATTCCCCGCCTTCACCTGGGAAATGGGGGCCTGAAGGCATGGAGAGGGCACCCCAACACCAGATACACAGCACTGATTTATTTGTAAAGTCCACCTGCCCTCAATCAGGTTTTCCAACAAGGTGGGTTCCCAGCTGGGAGCGGGACCCAGCGCTGCAAGGGCACGCCCACCGGGGACCCTGCCCCTGCGGTGTCCAGATCTGCGGCGGGTTGGAAAATTCCAGTAGTGGGGTGGGGCTAGGGTAGACAATCTTTATTGTGTTCAGAGTCTAAGGATTTTTTATACAAAAATAAGTCTTCATATTGCCGGTATCCCTTGGCAGTTCAAATTAATAGGTAAAAGATCGATGTTCTGTGTCCTTAGAAAATCTTCTCCCCTTCAAACCTCTCCGTGTTGGTGCCCGGCCCCGTCCCAGTGGAGGACCGCTGGGGGGGCGGGGGTCTGGGTCTGAGGAAGCCGCCGCCAGCGGGGCAGGTTCAGGCTGGGGGCCATCTCCCCACGGGCACTCGGTCAGGCTGGACGGCGCGGGGGACCCTCGGAGGGCCGTCGGCGGAGTCCGGGCTCGGTGGTGGCTTCGCCCGCCAGGATGGTGGGCCCAAGGCGCGGCCGCCCACCTTGCTGTCAGGTGATGGGCGCGCTGGCCCCTCGGCGTCCAGGGCTGCGGCTGCTGGGAGGGGAGGGGAGGGGAGACGGGGACGCGCATTAGTTGGGGATCCGGCCCTGCCCCACCACCCACAAGCGAAGTCTGCAGTTTCGTTTGCTTGGTTGGTTTTGGAGCTCGAGTCTGTGGGTGCCTGCGATTCGGTCTGCGCCCGGACCGGGGCGGGGGCGGGGCGGGCGCTCGGAGCCGAAGTGAGTCAGGGCTCCGCTCCCGCCGACTCATTTCTGCCACCCGGCCGGGCGCGCGATTTGCAATGCAAAGTCACCCCGCCTCCCCAGCGCCCAGCTCAGCCCGGGATCCGCGTGCGCTCCGGGCCTCACCCGCCCGAGGGCCCCCCTCCCTGCTCCCCCTTCGGCGCGGCAGCGAGAGGAAGTTTTGCAATCCCGGACAAACAAACGCCTGTCGTGCACAGGCTTGACAAAGTTTGGGGAAAATGAAGAGTGAGCGAAATCGAAGCCCTCACCCGGGCCTGGCGCGGGGCTTGGCTGCTCTCGGGGGCGCGCGCGGCGGGGCTGTCCCCTCCACCCCGCCCGGCTGCCCCTGCTGCGACCCCCTCTTCCCGGCCGCCGGAGGTTACCTCGGGGACAGGGCGCTCAGTAGCCCCCTAACCAGCTGGAGAAGTCGAGCAGCTCGCGCTCCACTGGGCTAAGCGCGTCCTCGCAGCCGCTATCGTCCAAGGAGTAGGTGGAGCGCGGCGAGCCGGGCTCTGAGCTGCCCCCGCGGCCCGGGGACGACGAGGCACAGGAAGGCGAGGAGGCGGCGACCGCGGCGGCAGCGGGGGTCCCTGGAGGCCCGCAGGACGCGGGGGGCCGCGCGGCTGCTGGTGCCAACAGCCCCTCGGCCAGCGCGGCGCGCACCGCATCGTGCTCGGCCAGCAGGCGTTGCAACGCGCGGATGTACTCCACGGCTGAGCGCAACGTCTCCACCTTACTCAGCTTCTTGCTGGCGCCGCCGTGCGGCACGTGCTGCCGCAGCGCCTGGAAGCCCAAGTTCACCAGCTTCACGCGGTTGCGCTCGCGCTCATTGCGCCGCGCCACGGCCGCCGCGCCGCTCCCGGTCTCCGTGGCGCCCGGCCGTCGCCGCCGGCTGCAGCGCAGCAGTTGTGGGGATGTGGGTCGCCGCCGAGCTGGGGCCGCAGGCACCGGGGGCGCGGGACGCAGCAGTGCGCCGCTGTCCATCGCGTCCGCATCCACTCGCCGCGCGATTCCTGAGTCCCCGTGGGCAGCGGGAGGGGCGGACGGAGGCACGCGAGTCCGTGGGAAGGCGACACAACCCCAAGAGGGCCCCTGGTGTTGTGCCGCTGGGTACGCGTCCCAGGTCGTCTGGGGCCCGGGACACCGGGGAGCGGGGGGCCAGGGGGTGGCAGGCCGTGCGCACCTGGGAGCGTGGGGCGCTCGTGTCCCGCGCGTGCGGTCGGACGCTCCCCAGGTCTTCCCGGCGCGGCGCAGGCGGTTTGGTTTTAAATGTATAGATAACCCTCCTCCGCGCCGCCGCCGCCTCCTTTCTCACGCCTCCCTCCCTCGCCTCGCCCTCCTGCCACGCTTCGCCCTCCCCCTTGCGCACGCAGACCTGCAAATACAACGCCGTGAGCGCATCCCCCACCCCGTCCCCCCGGGCGGAGTCTGCAGGTTCCCAGCGGGCCCCCAACTCCCAGCAGGTGCTCAGTCCGCCCCCCAAGACGCAGTGCGCAGGTCCCGTGTGCGCCTTCCGCCCCGCCCGACCTCCTAGCGCTGTCAGCAGGTCTCCGTCCGGTGCGACCTCTGCCACCTGAGCCGCGCCCGCAGGTCCCGCGTGAGGCCGTCGGGTACCCTCATCCCATCCCACGCGCCGCCCGCCATCCCCGGAGCTGCTGACCGTCCGCACGCGCAGCGCGCGCCGTGGGGAGGCGGGCGTGGCCTCCTTGGAAGCGCAGCCGTCCCGGAGGCGCGCGAGACCCCCCGGGGGCAGCACGCGCCGCGCCTTGGGTCCCAGCGCCACCACCCACCCCCCGCGTCCCAGGGGGCGGGGGCCGAGGTCTCAGCCAATCGCGGGCCGGCCGGCCGGCCAATCGCGGAGGGCGCGGCCCCACGCCAGCCCCCGGGAGGAAGCGCGTACGCCCGGCGCGTGGCTCCTGGAGCCGCGCTATCAAAGCTTGGTGCTCCGGTCCGCTCCGCGCGCCCCCGGGGTGGGCCCTCTCCCCGGATGCACACTTGCTCCTTGGCCGCCCACCTACGTGTTCCTCTGCGGGCAGAGGGAGAGGGTGATGCGCCCTTGGGGCGGGGCGGCATGGGAGGAGTGGCGTGCCGGAGTGGGGAGTTCAGGCTCCTGGGACGCCTCCCCCGTCCCTGCACACACACCCCTTCCTTTACCTGTGGTTTCCATGTACTCCCGGCCTTGCGGAGGCTGGAAGCGGAGGGCCTGGAGGTTTCCCTGCCCTGCAGACCCGCGCGGGCGTCAGCCTGGCCCTGCAGCGCCTTCCCTTTCGCGTACCCCCCTCCCACGTTCTGCCTCTCTGCCCCTCCCCTTAGGCGCCTGCCCGCTCACCCTTGGTGCCCGTAGATCCTCTATATCGTGGCCCTCACTCCTTTTTCCTTAGTGCCACCCCTCTGGCTTCAGCCCCCGACCCTGGCTGGGCTCCCCCTCCCCTCCCCGCCCAGGCACGGAGACTGGGGTGCCAGGGGAAGGAAGGTTCAGCTGCCTCGCACCAGGGCAGAGCCTGGTCTCCCAAGCGAGGACGGACAAGACTTTCTCCCTGACAGGTGGGGAGACGTGTAAGGACAAGGACCACGGAAGTGTGCAGAATGCACCCTCAGTGGGAGGGAGGGTTTGTTCTGCCCGTGGGCAGGGGACTGCCCGCCAGGTGGCTGCGCCCTCAGGAGGCCACTGCTCTGCTGGGTTTTGCGCAAGGTGACCAGATCCTCCTGGGCCAGGTCTGCTGGGAAAGCAGTTCTGCCGGGAGCCGCTTCCCCGTCGGGCTGGGGAGGGGCCCTGGATTCCTCCCCAGGGAGCACCCCCTCCAGGGCCTTGCCCATGGCCACTGGCTCCAGTTACTCTGCAGGACCTCCTGGCAATGGGAGGTCTGCTCGGCCATCCTGCGTTGGGGTGGGACCTGGAGGCTAGCACCTGCCTGGAGCCAGGTGGGACGAGGGGGGGCTTTGTCTCAGGAGGAAGCTGACTCATTGAGGACAGAGATTGTGTCTACAGTCACACCTCCCGCCAGCGCAGCAATCCAGATAGAAATCAGGGCCCGACTCTGACTCCAAGTGGCTCACCCTTCCTCCCTGTCCAGGACAGAAGTCTTAGAGCCCCCCCCCCCCCCCCCCCCGTCCCCCGCCCTTCCCTGACAGTCAGTCCACAAACCCTAGCCAGAGACAGACGCCACGTCAGAGCTAACAGGGAACCCCCAAGTCCTGCCATCAGGTTCTTGACAATCGTCATCTGGACTTGGGCTCAGCCTCGGGGGAGACCCTCACTTACCTGTCCCCACGCAACAGACTACCCGGGCTCTGGACGCTTTTCCAACGATTTCTTATCTATCAGGACTTGGGTGGTGCCTCTGCTGGCGGCTGGGTGGCCAGTTCTCCGTGTGGCCCTCACCCCCCTTCACAGCTGGGCCCCGATGGCCGGAAGACAACCAAAGAGTATGGGGCTTCTTTCTGAGATGGTGCGACTGTTTTAAAATGGCCCACGGTGATGGTAGCACCAGTCTGGGAATGTGCAGAAAGCCACCGAGGTGCACACTTGGAATGGATGAGCTGTGAGGTATGTGGATTGTACGGCGATAAAGCTGTTAGGAAACTTGGAAACACAAGCACGTTGCCCCGTCAGGGCTCTGCCTTCACCCTGCGCCCACCCCAGGGCTGGCTCGCCCACTCCCGGGTGCTGCCCACCCGAGTCTCCGTGCCCGAGATCCAGGGCAGAGGTCGGTAAACCCGTTCCCCCTCCCCCAGCCCTGGGCACCCACCGTTCTGCTCTGTGTCTCCGTGAACTTGACTGCCCTAGGTCCCCATACATGTAGGGTCCTATTCGCGTATTTCACTCAGCACCACGTCCCGCGGCTCCATCCACCTCGCGGCAGGGGCCAGCGTCCTGCTTTGTGTGGATGGACCACAGTTTGTTTACCCATTCGTCCTTCGTGGACACGTGGGGGCTCCCACATGTTAGCAGCTGTGAATGACGCTGCCGTGAAGACACCCTGAGGTCGCTTCTCCTGGGGGGGTGCCTCCAGAAGTAGGGCTGCTGCTCACGTGGTAATTGTGCGTGAAGCGTCCTGAGGAACCCCCACGCCGTGTCCACAGCCGCTGCTCCATCTTCCCACAGACGGTGCAGGAGGGTTCCTGAGTTGTCCACGTCCTCACCAGCACTGGTCACTTTCTGGGGTTTTTAATACATTTTGGATGGCAGCTAATGGGTGTGCATTTTATTTTATTTTATTTTTTTGACCACCTACAAATGTGCACACTGTCCTCAGCTTGCGGGCAGTATAGAAACGGGCAAGAGACCGCCTTCGGCCATGGTGTGCTGCGCCCTGTGCTAGATGGCCGGCACGCCCCTGACGCCCGGCCACGCTGCGCTCATTCTGCGGGCTCCTCCAAGTCAGCTCCCCGCAGGCTGAACTGTCTTTCCCTGAGCCCCTCCCTCTGCCTGGTCCCCCCCTGGTCACTGCTCGGTCAGCAGTAGGAAGCCACCACCTCGTCCCTTCTCCTCTAGGTGTCCACCGGCCGGGCCGCATCCCCAGCCGCGTCGCCGTCTGCCCTCAGATGCTGCCTCCGCCTCCCCCCCCCCGACCCCGTCTCCTGGGCTCCCGCTGTACCTCCTCCCGTCTGTCCACAGCCTCTGAGCGGGAGTGACCTCACAGAGGCGGCTTGGATCAAGCCTTGACCCTTTGCACATTGCCCCCCACCCTGCCGTGGCCCCCTGTTCAGCTTTGACGTCACATGACCTAGAAGCCTGCCCCGACCCCCCACGCCGTGCACTTCACATTGCACCCAACATGAAACAAGCACCCTGCGTACACCAGAAAGCACCCCGACCCCTTCCCCAGAAAGGCCTGGAGGGAGGTTTACTCTTCTCCCGATATCCCGTATCCTAAATACTGGGACGTGAACTTAACAGTACTCGGCCCTTAGGACATAAAGTCAGTGTATCTTGTGTTACATGATCAGCGGACGAGAGGGGAAAGAAAACAAAGACACACACACATATTCACAGGAATCGGGAGGAAACGCTCACGACAACCACAGTCCTCATTTCTGTGAAGACCAGTAGGGCCCGTGGTCCTCGCTGGGGTTGGGGCTCCCTTCCTCCGCTGCCCACCGCGCGTGCCTTCCCTCTGCGCCCAGCGAGCACCCGCGGCCTGTGCTTCCTAGCCTGGTGCGGCGGCCCCACACCTCCTTCCTGGAGGGCCATTGCGAGTCCTCCCCGGGCTGGGTGGACTTAATCCCGGGGGGGGGGTGCTCCTGAGAGGCGCCCCGCGGGCTCCGCTGTGTCCGCACCCACTCTTCCTTCAGGCAGCAGAGCATAAGGTCGTGGGGACGGGACACAAACAAGTTGCCGGTGGGTCACTAGGGGTAGTAGTGAGGGGGCCCCCGCCCTTTCCAGGCCTTGATTCCTGGGCCCGTGAGTCCTGGCCGGGGGGCACACAGCACCCTGTGTTGGACGCTGACTCAGAGCACGTTCGGCCTTCAGGAGAGCCCTGTCCCAGCCCCGGCGGGCACGGCCGCCTCCCTGGGGCTGTCACGGAGCCGTCAGAAGGCCGTGCCGCTGTCCTGTCGTGGCAGCTGCTACCGTTGGTGGGGACCGCGGTGAGGCCGGTGAGTTCCGGGAGCGCGACCCGTGGCCACGGCCCGTTTGCCGTGAGCGAGTTTCTGGGTCAGAGCTCTGGTGGCAGACGCCACGATGGCGGGTGAGGCGTCCTGGAAGTCCACGATGACGTTTGGCGGGAGTCCCGTGTGCACAGAAGGCGGGTCTGTATCCCGAATGAGTGTCTGTTGCAGGAAGGGCGGCCCTGCCCTCTCCGGGCCGGAGGCTGTCCCGCGCGGGCCCCTGCCTGCAGCTGGCCGGCCGATCGCCCCGGGAACGGTGCGCGGGAGGGCTCCGCGTGGGTCTCGGCCGCTGGCAGACAGGACGCGCACTGGTGGCCACAGCCGGCGGCCTTGGCGCGGGAAGTCCACGACCACCTCCGTCTCTGCCAGCGGGGCCCCTTTGTTCCCGGCCCGGTGGGCGGCGGCAGGGCTGGCCGGGGGAGGGGCTGAGGGCGCCCACAGAACGGGCCGCCCTGCCCCCCGACTGTGGAAGTCCTCTGCCGAGCTCCCGCCTTGGGGGCCGTTCCCACGGGCCGCGCACACGACCGCTTTGCCTGCCGCGGGCCTCCTCCCCGAGTTCCCTTGTCGTCAGTCGCCCAGTCGTGGTCCT